TTCCTGCTCATACTGTAAATAGACATCTGGGTGGGAGGGAGCAGATAATGTAATACAAGCTCAGCTCTGCTGACGTATCAGAGGATCCACGTGGGAGACAAGTTCTCTGCTCCCAAAGATAGAGCAGATCCTTCGGGTTACATAAAGAGACATGAACTCCAGCTGAACGTTTTTTATCCTCAGTTGTTTAATGCATTCTCCATCTCCTTGTCTAATCCTAGGGAATTCACACTGCAGCTTTTCGAGAATTATTTTTCAGTAGTCAGTCATCTGTGACACAGAAACCCCTTAAAAACCCGGCTTCTTAAGTTTTGATGTTTTGGGAACTGCTTGCTCCTAAGAGTACTTTTTTTTCACTATTCCTTGCATTTTTTCTCTTCTCACAGATATTATGAGCACATGCTTACTCAAATTCTATCCTGTTTTCTTATCTTAAACTCTAATATAGCAGTTTATTGTTATTAATTTCTAGTAACTTAAGAGTGGAAAGAAAATGTTTTCAAGGTACATTGACATGGAACATCATATATATGGGGTCAAAACCAGCTAACAGTAATTTGAACCTCGATAGTACCAGGAATATAAGTAGATGTTTTGCTGAAATATTGTATTTTTCTTTTAAAAAAAATATAAGGCACTGGAGGCTTCGCAAAGCCTACAAATGCTAACGCATAAATCCCTTTTCCCTTATCTTTGCCTGATCTTATTCCTGATGGAGCAATGCAGCTAGAGGATTTTGTAGTGGTGAACAAACCATCCATGTGGCATTTATGCTTATAAGTACATCCAGTTTTCTAAAACAATTATTAATTACCATTATTTTAGGTGATAACCTGTGTCTTTGCCTTTGGGCAAACCTCTGGTAACCAAAAGCCATATCAGATCAACTTATAGCCAGAGAAAAGCTTGGCAAGGAAGGAGAGGGAACTGATAACTAGTCTGAAAGATATTCCGAATTCTGTGCTTTCAAAATAGTGTGTTCCTCACCAAAATACAGCAACTTGGCCAAAATACAGCAACTAGGGACACTGTGGACAGTTTAAACAATTTTCTGCTAATATCACCAGGTCTACAGACTGATGCTTGGAATGTGCAAGATGGAAGACATGGTTACTGGTAAGAGCAGAATGAAGAGTAGCAACAGGGACAGAGTACGGGAAGGAAAGGTTCATGTATGTCCTTTAAACAGCACAGAGACACACATTTTGTTGCACTGCCAGGCTTCACTGCTACAGAACAGGTTGACTGATGTGCTATTTCTCTTCTGCTGTGGTCAGGAGGAAATATGACTGTCCTGTAACCTGTTTCATTAGCTATTGCGTCAGCACTGTTTCAGATTTTTAGCACTGGAGTGGGTGATACCTTGGTCTTACTTGATGTAATGAGAAGAAATGGACAGATTTATTTTTCTAAACCTGAAGGAATATTGGTTAAAGTACTAGACTGTCTAGTTTGTCAAACTCCAAGCTGCTTCTCTGGAGCTAAATTACATCCTTGAAGGCAGCTCTCCTTAGAGGTTGTTTCTGTAGAAGCAGCTTCTTAGATATTCCTTACCTAGAGGCTGCTCTGCTTAGAGGCTGCTTCTCTGAAGCCAGATTATATCCTTCCCATTTTTATGTCTCTATTATGTACAAAACATGCAGCCAGGTACCATAAAAAAAAAATATTTCTTGCTAAATTTCAGTGCCTGTGGCTATGGAGATGTTCCAGCACTACCTCAGTTCACAGCTCTAAGAAACCCAAAACAGCAGCCATAGTTATCTAAAGGGAGGTTTGGCTCTGATAAATCAGGATTAGAGTTATTTCAGGGAAGGACTCTGGTGTTTGTAAATGATGTCTCCACACCCATGGATTTGACCCAAAATGGTTCTGCAACGTGGCCAGTTTCTCAACTGAATAGCTCAGCAGGGTGTGGAAGCCAGATCTGTGACCCTCTGCCCTCTGTCCACCTCCAGCAGAATAAGATACCAAAGCAACAGGAAAGAAAACCCTCATTGTCACCCAGCCAGAAGATTCAAAGTTCAAAGCAAAAAGGCAGTTCTACAACTATGTCCTAAACAATGAGCTACACCAGTACTTTATTTTAATGAAGAATTGATGTGAAATTTAATGCACTAACTTACTTTTTTCTTTCCGATTATTCAAACCTTTTGAACTGGAGGGTTTTCAGAAAGTCATGAAGGAGTTGTCCTAGGTAGCCAGAGCTGGACTTAACCTAACTG